TTATTTTGGATCCTAGCACAGGCCTGTACCCAGCTCTTGCCAAGGGGTGGTCTTTTTTAAAATTCCAGGGGGGGGCACATTTGGCAATTTTGGTCCAAAAATGGCCAAATATTACTTAAAAAGTGCTCAGAATGGTGAAAAACTACATGATTTAGAAAGAATTTTTTCTCAGGGGGGTCTTTGCTGAAACACATAGAACCCCCTGACTATGGGCCTGCCTAAGCATATACCCTTGTGTAGTTGTGTGTAATTTTGACTCATTTGAAAATGGACATTGTATTGCCATTTAAGGCCAATATAAATGGTTAAAATACAGTCTAATATTCTTCTTTATAAAATCCCAATCACAAACATGTACATGTATGGTGAGTACATGTATGGTGAGTACATGTATGGTGAGTACATGTATGATGAGTACATTTGATTTAAAACATGGGCTCAAAAACAATTTTTTGCAAGAATGTTGATGCATATAATGCATTAGCATTCTTGTAGAGGGTTCCTCTAATCATAGATTTTTACATTGTACATGTACATAATTCAAGATGTACACCGATAATAATATGTGACAGGTTGCTTTAAACTTGATCATAGCTTTGAAAACTTGACTGCACTGGACACCCTAGCCTTCAAACTATCAAAAATAAATATGGTTTGTTTCGCTCAGTAAGTAATACACTCACAGTAGGATGTTTGACCCTATTTTGGCTCATTGTACATTCGTATTATGTACTGGAATGTTTCAGATACAGGGTTTATCCAGAGGGAAATGTGTTATATCCAGAAGGAAAAATTCTGTTTCTGAAACCGATCATACATAACAGATCTATTCCATATGTACACATATTAGGTTCTTTAAATTCAACTTTGAGTTGAGGTTGATAACATTGATATAATATGTAAGTAAAATCTGAGAACTTTCTATATCCTTGAATCTGGAGAGAGACAGGTGGAGAATATAGCCACCCCCTCCCTAGATACAATATATATTTCCAAATGTCATCTACATAGAAAATTGTTAGGTACTGGATACCTTTGAACATATAACACTAGACTAGCTATAACAATAGCGACATCTAAAGAATGTAACTACTGTATTACATGAATATAAATTATTACATAAAATAATGCTATATTGGAGCATACAATAGCAACAAATCCTAAAATCATATTAAATAATAGTAAAATTGATAATTACATATTTTCATATTGTTTATTGGGTTTGTATTTTTCTAATATGTGGCTTCACACTTCGTCAATCTTATATTTAATATTGGACATAATATTATAAAGTTGAGCTATGACACAAAGAAACGACTAGAATAATATATCAATATAATCATATATTGGATTTATAATCTATTGTAATTTTTCATATTGGAAACTATAACTGTTGTATGCCTGTTTTAATTACATTTTTTTTAAAATTCTACAATATTGTTGTATTTAATTTACAAATGTTTATCAAATCCAGACATTAAAAATAAAAATAAATCTTTTGATAATAAATTTGTACCATTTTTAGAGGGTAATAATAACTACCATGTCACACTTAACCTCTTGTCACACTTAACCTGTGTGTCACACTTTACCTACTTGTCACATTCCAATAATCTGTATTCATGAAATCTTGTTTTTGGAAAAATACAAATAACATTATTTCTTTTATTATACTACAATTGAGAGTATTATTTCAATGCAGCCTCTTCCCAAAAGGACGATTCTCGGTTTGGAGAACGAAGTTCATCAATCTAAATGAGCATTATGACTGCTTCGGACAAATTTGATTTTTTTACATAATATAGATTTGAATATTTTCTTTTGAATAGTCATAATTTAATTTGGGTAATATTTCTAGATTTTTCGCAAAAAAAACATTAGTGCAGTACACTGATGAACTTCTTTCCCCAAATCTATAAAAGACTTGTATTTTATTGAATCGGTCTAATTGAGCGTTATCCTTGCTTCAGACCAATTTGTTATTTTTACATCTTGTAGATTTAAATGTCCTCTTTTGAATATTCATAGTTTAATTTGGGTAATATTTCTATATTTTTCATGAAAAAAATTATTAACCCAGGAGACTGTTCTCCAAACCAAGAATCGTCCTTTGCACAAAAAATGAAATCCAATAATCACTTTGAAATAAAGCATGTTTCCACTTTTTGGTACTACACATTCTCCGGTAACTGGACAAGTCGGACCCAGGACAACTCGGACCCAGGACAACTCGGACCCTGGACAACTCGGATCCAAGACATCTCGGACCCAAGACAACTCGGACCCAAGACAACTCGGACCACTTTTTGAAATGATGATATTTACATCATAATATGGGGTTTTAATTTTTGTTTTATGTTTAGATGACATATATTATGTACTGTGCATTCATTTATTGTGTTACTTGATGAAATTGTTTTAAATCAACTTATTATTTGATGGTAGTTAAGAAGAAAATATTGAAGCTAAAGACCCAAGACAACTCGGACCACTTTTTGAGATTATGATTTTTATCATGATATGGTTTTTATTTTTTATTTTATGTTTAGTATGACATATTATATATATTTTGAATTCAAATGTTGTGTTAATTTGATGTAATTGTTTAAAATCAACTTAATTGATGAGAATTAAGAAGAAAATATTGAAGCTAAAGATCCAAGACAACTCGGACCACTTTTTGAAATTATGATTTTTATCATGATATGGTTTTTATTTTTTTTATTTTATGTTTAGTCTGACATTTTATACATATTTTGAATTCAAACATTGTGTTAATTTGATGTAATTGTTTAAAATCAACTTAATTGGTGAGAATTAAGAAGAAAATATAAAAGCTAAAAACCCAAGTCAACTTAGACCACTTTTTGAAATTATGATTTTTATCATTATATGGTTTTTATTATTTATTTTATGTTTAGTATGACATACTCATATATACATATTGTGAATTCAAATATTGTGTTAATTTGATGTAATTGTTTAAAATCAACTTAATATTTTGGTGAGTTTTCATGTTAGGATCGTAATATCAGATCAGGTGTTATATCGACGCATAAACCCTTTAGGGCTAGGCACAAAAGCTTTCGGACCCCTCACTCCCTTTGGCCAGTTTGGGTACAGAACGCGTTCATGCCTAGCCCTGCGGGGTTTATTCATCCATATAACGACTGATGTTCAGTCAATATTTCTTAATTAAATGATAAAAATGAGGATTTACAGAATACAAACACATTCCTCAATCTTTCAGTGAGATATAGATTAAATTATCAAAAGACTTTAGGATTAACAGAATACAAACTCTTTCATTGATCTCAATATGGCATCAATCTTTCAGTGAGATTAAGATTAAATGATCAAAAATTGAGGATTTACAGAATTTTAAGTTTCCATTGATCTCTATGTGACATAGGTCTTTCAGTGAGATAAATAAGATTAATAAGACCGCACGGTGGTGAGTGTAAATGAGATAATGAGATTAGGATTAAAATTATTATTGTTTCAATTCCTTAGTGATTTTCCAAATGAGTTGATATTAACTGTATGAAAAGACTCATTGACACCTCTATATAACAAGTTGTATTCTCAACTCTCATCAAATAAGTTAATTGAAACATCTTGTTCATCTTTACATGTAAACACAAAATATAGATTCACAATATATCTAAACTGTGTCATGGTAAACATTTATAAATAATCCCATATTATGAAAACAAAAAAGTAACATTTCAGAAAGTGGTCTGTGTTGTCTTGGGTTTATAGCTTCAGTAGCTTCTACTTAATCTTTATCAAATAAGTCAAAATTAAAACATTTTAATCAAATTAGTACATAACATGTATTCACAATGTATAATATATTTAATAAGCATAAAACAAAGACTAAAAACCCTAAACAATGATAAAAATCATTATTTTAAAAAGTGGTCCGAGTTGTCTTGGGTCCGAGTTGTCTTGGGTCCGAGATGTCTTGGGTCCGAGATGTCTTGGGTCCGAGTTGTCCAGGGTCCGACTTGTCCAGGGTCCGACTTGTCCTGGGTCCGACTTGTCCGGAAACCCATTCTCCAATTCCATTGTTTTAATGCAACTTGAGGTAGTTTTGAAATTCCTTTTAGTGCTTTTGGAGTATATGGCGCTTAATTAACCGTTTCTGGGGAAAATATAGAACCTAGAATGCCATGTGATGGCAAAATATTCTCAAACATGTGATATTATAATATCACTTTGCTATCCAAAATAATATCACCATGGCTACCAAAAGTTTAGTAATAGTAGTAGTAGAACTTAGTACCCTTTAACACATGCACAAAACTAAGAGAAATCAACGAGCAGTTTTCCTGGAATGGCAATAACAAGATTTATTGAAAAAATAATCTCTTAAAGGGTAGAACTGTAGAACTTGGTACCCTCAAACAAATGTACAAATTTGAAGAAAATCTAAAAATCCTTATGACAAAGAGTAGGATAACACGTTATGATCAAGATAACTATCACCATGGTGTGGGAAAAACTTGGTTTTCAATCTTAAGTTTAATTCAGTTACAATGAAGTTATGAATATTATGATTATTCCAAAGATGGACTCAACAAGTATTTTTCAAGATGATATTCAAAATATATAAAAGCATTGTACATAATGTAAAGGGAACACTTTTGGGCATCAGAAAACTTTCAGTTTGAGGGTGCTCATCCTAGAGATTTTGTCAGTGTAATTAATAATTTAATTCTAATTTGCTAACCATCACTAACAACATACAAAATGCTTCTAAAATTGGATACACAGATTCTGGGTTCTAAAATCAGATACAAGGATTCTGACCACATTTGCAAAATATATTTATCATTCTGCGCTAGAATGCTTCTAAAATTGGATACACAGATTCTGGGTTCTAAAATCAGATACAAGGATTCTGACCACAATTGCAAAACATATTTATCATTCTGCGCTAGAATGCTTCTAAAATTGGATACACAATTCTGGGTTCTAAAATCAGATAAAAGGATTCTGACCACATTTGCAAAATATATTTATTATTCTGCGCTATCAACAGAAGGTCTAGAAGCACTATATTAATGGTTTTGTATGGATAGTTCATATATGGATCACTCTTACATAGTAGGATCACAATGAGAAGAGTTTTGAACAGTCAAGCTAACAGTTTGTGAAACATCCTCTGCCGTAACATAATCATCTCAAGGTGCGTGAATACATTTCATTTTGTGAACTTGCACAAAAATGTCGGCACATGAAAAACATCAGTAAACACACAAATAAATACAAGTGTATAACATTTTAAAAATTAAACTCAGACAACCTTTAATATCAGCTATAAAATGCTTCTTCGCATTTGAACAAAATATTCATGCATTATTTCACAATATATGGATTAGGTCTACTTTTCGACTCAACTCCACACATATCAAGTTGACATAAGTTGACATTGAGAATGTCAATCGAATAATTCATAATGCCACATTTGCAATGAATTTTCAATCCATGGAATTGTACATAGGATTGATCATCAGGGTTAACGGATCATGTCTTTGCACAACCTGAATCAGCATGATCCATAATCTGACTGATGATTAAAGATAATCCTGCTGCTCCTTCAAATCTCCCTCTTAATGACTCCCTCTTAACGCTATAACTCCTGATCTCCTTCCCTCTTGTTGTTATTCTCCTGGTTGTGCTCCTCTTTGAGTTTATTATATCTCCGCATTTCATTTGTCCAGTTTTCCCTGTTATCTTTGCATCCTTTTAATAGAGGTTCAGTAGTATGGCAAACTTTGACTAGTGCCTGAAATTAATTACAGAAATTTTTTAAAAGAGGTTCAGTAGAATGACAAACTTTGACTAGTGCCTGAAATTAATTACAGACATTTTTTAAAAGAGGTTCAGTAGAATGACAAACTTTGACTAGTGCCTGAAATTAATTACAGACATTTTTTAAAAGAGGTTCAGTAGAATGACAAACTTTGACTATTGCCTGAAATTATGTTCAATATTTTCGAAGAGGTTCAATAGTATGGCAAACTTTGATTATTGCCTGAAATTATGTTCGGTAATTTTTTGAAAGAGGTTTAGTAGTATGACCAACTTTGACTAGTGCCTGAAAATAAGTACAGTAATTTTGTAAAAAAAGGTTCAGTAGTATGACAACTTTGACTAGTGCCTGCAATTTTTTTTTTATATGATAAACTATTTATTTCATGATATTCAAATTAACATCGAATGGCTTGCCAATCGCCTAGTGGCATTATAGGCCAAGCTAAAGTACATATTATATATTTAATACAATTAGGAACAGCATTTTGTCTATTGTGGCATAAAAGAACTGGGAGTGTCTGGCTAAGAATGAGATTTAGGTGTCAAGTCATTGGTTCCATGAGGGCAAAAAGGGAGATGAGGATGATACAAAAAACTATGGAAGGGGTCTTATTTCATATTTTCTTGGATAAAGTTTGCAACGTTTTCAAAAAGTTCCTTCTTTTGAAGGATTGAAAGGTCATTGCTTCCATATTTCAAGAAATGCATAATTTGATTTTCATTTTTGATGGTCTTTGGTTTGTATATTGAGATTTTATTAAAGAACATTGTTCTGCTTGCAAAATTTTGAGGGCATCTAAAAAATGTTTTGGGGTTTCAGGTAATCCACATGCACAGTTGGGATTGTTTAACGTGGTAAAGTTGTGTGCATATAGTTGGGCTTTCAAAATCAGATCTACTCTGAATCTGTTAAGTACAATTTCTAAGTTCCTGGTAAGCTTTAGTTTGGTTGTAGGGTCAAAATTAGGTTTTGATTTTTGAATAAGTTTCTTTTGGCGATTTTTAAAGATAGGAAGATTCAGACTTTCTTTTAGATATTGTGGAGCTCTGTTCCACAGTGAGGCAGCATTAAAAGCTGGCGACTTTTTCAGTTTATCTGAGCATTTTGCGGGCAATCTGTAATCTATCTTATGTCTTAGGCTCAAAAATATCGTTAATGTATTTTGGACATAAATTGTGCTTTACACGATACATGAATCTCAAAATTTGCATATCCCTTCTGGTCTCAAGAGGTGTCCATACAAGTGCATCAATGACTTTTTCTGTGCTGCTTCTATGAATACAGCCGCTACAGATAAGTGCTGCTTGGTAATTAAATACAGTAATGCAATTAAATACAGTAATATCTTAACAAAAAAGCAGTTAAGTATTCTAAATTTTAATTGAAACAATTTTTCTTGAACATTGCAAATACATTTAATGAACAAATGTCAGAGAACAACTTATGGGAACAACCAGAGTGCATGATTTCAATATCAGTACAACAAGGTTAATATTTGAGGGGGGAGCATATATTTCCTGGTGTTATTCAATGTGAAATAAAAGTACAATGGTATTAAAAAGGAATTTACCTGGTACACAGGTAGACAGATTGAATCTATGAATCCAACTTGCATCTCTGGCAATCTGTCTTTCTTATCCCTGTCCATCATATCCTGAAAATAGAAATATACCTTCTTATAGGGCATGTTAGCTTTGCCTTATACCATGGTCACACTTGCTCCAATTTTCAGTATTGATGCCTGGCAAATTAAGATTTGATAAATAATTGCATTCAGTTTTGAACAAAATTCCCATAGGCCACTGCCAGGTGCCGGTGTCGGAGTAAATGTGACCACGTCATTAGTCAATATAGCGTGGAATAAACTTTTGATATATTTATATTGAGAAATATATCAAAATGTTATTAGAAAATAAGTCTAATCATTTTTTTAAAAAAGTGACAACATGGGGTCCTAATCCATACTTTTTCAAGAGTTGGTTGATATTTCATTATCATGCGGACATTACTTGAAAGAAAACATATTGTTTTAACAAGGCATTAACATGAAAAAATGTCACTATCTAGTTGCTCACAATATTATGAGTTCAATCTTAAGTCAGATTTGAATTTCTGAGAATTTGTAGATGATTTTGAAAAAATGAATTGGTGAATTTGAAGCAAGCTAAAAAAGGCCTTTTTTGAATATAAGAAGGTCATTGAAGGACATCTCCAATCTATAGTCAGATTTGAACTTCTGAGAACTTGTGGATGATTTTGAAAAAAAATATTGGTCAATTTGAAGCAAGATAAAAGTACCTTTTTGACCTTGAGAAGGTCATTGAAGGTCAAATCTTTTTTACCTTGATAATGTCATTGAATGTCAAATCTATAGTCAGAAGCTGTCCATGTGCAGTATGGCAAGTGATTTTAGACGGTCATATATTTAACCGTGAGTACTTTCTGGGCACAAATACAATGTTTTTTATTAAAACAATATGTTTTCTTTCAATTCAAGTCCCCATGATGATAAAAATATTAATCCCACAATTCGGAATATTATAAGTAGGGACCACATCAACAATTTTTTCAAAATGTTGGTCTTCTTTGCTCAAAAGAGGATCTTCTTTTTCTGATTTTATTGCTTGAAAAGATTTTTAAACAAGGGGTCTAAAACATCTTCAAAAGTTGAATGGTATTGAAAGTCTAGATTTGAAGATATGCTGAAATCATGCTGAAAACAATGGATAGCATGAGTTTTACCTATGGGAAAATAACATGGGAAATGTGGTTTTTAACTTTATCGCATTTCAATACCCATCCCCTTTCCAGAACTTATTAATATACGTAGTGCAGAAGAAACATTTGATATATTCAAATTGAGAAAAACAAGATCCTCTTTTTTAGAAAATAAGCCTTACATTTTTTTTAAAAAAGTGACAAGGTGGGGTCCTAATCCATACTTTTTCAGATACCTTGTTGACCTTGAGAAGGTCATTGAAGGTCAAATCTATAGTCAGATTTGAACTTCTGCTAACTTGTAGATGGTTTTGAAAAAAAGATTGGTCAATTTGAAGCAACTTGAAAAAATACCTTTTTGACCTTTTTTGACCTTGAAAAGCTAATTGAATGTCAAATCTCTTTTGACCTTGAGAATGCCATTGAATGTTTAAACTATAGTCAGATTTGAATTTTTGAGATCTTGCAGATAATTTTGAAAAAATGGTCAATTTGAAGCAAGTTGAAAAAACATCTTTGACCTTTTTTGACCTTGAGAAGGTCATTGAAGGTCAAATCAGATGCAAGGTCAAGTTGAAAAAAACTTTATTGACCTTAAAAGTATTAGAGGTCAAATCTTTTATATAAAGACCGATATGAATTTCTGAAAACTAGTAGAAGATTTTGAAAGTCAGTCTAAACAGTATTTTGTTAAGTTATTGGAAGTTGGAAGAATTTGTTACATAAGCCAACCACCAACCGCCAACCACCAACTGCAGTCAAAAAAAACGGAGACCATAACAATATGTCACCACTTTTTGGTGGTGACATATCAAAAACCATTGAATTTATGGCCAGAAAGTACTCATTGTGGAAGAATTGATTATTCAAAATCACTTGCCATAGTAAATCTGGTCCATTATATTATTTGTAATAATTAAATCAAAAACTGAGTGTTCAAATCAGACTTACTAGTTTAGGGTGGGATGTGAGGCGACAAATAATTCAAACCATTGCAGGATCTAATGTGGGAGATATACTTTACCAATCTATATTTACCAATCCAGTGGATTGGCTCCAAAAGTTCCCAAAAATTAATCAGTTTGCAATTTTTTATCATCATTACTATCTAATATTTCTATACGTTTACTTGTCAAGGGTAACTAAATTTGATTAACATCTTTATTTCTAGCATTTTAAGTCAAATATGAACAGTGTCATTAAATTAAGTGAAATGGTTTACTTCACGATAAGTTTTGTGAATATTTTGTTACAACTTAAATTTATTTGTTTAAAGGGTGACGATAAGCTTCCCGTATAAAAAACAATATGGCGGCTCTTGGATCAGTCCATTTTTAAGAAATAAGGGGAGTTCTGTAAAATCCAGTTTATTGAAATTGTCTTTGAGATAAAGTAATCCGTTTATAATGATTTTGAAAACATTATCCATAGAGTGATTGCGTTCAAAGAATATATACAACAGCCAATATAAATCCTTGTATTAGAACTGCTTTGTTTTATTTGTAGGATATTTCATATGCCAAGCTGTGTGCTATTACGTTATTGGGAAATTTAGATGTCAATTTTTCCTTATTATACACAAATAGAAGATCCTGAAACTTCACCCATGAATGTGGAATTGATTTGTCAAAATAAAAATCACCCTTTTATAAATGTGTGACGATCTATAATATACTTATGCTATATAACAGTTAGAGGTGTTGACACAACGAGCTCGAGCCTGTGAACCCTTGAGTATTATTCCGGGATCGGGCCTTTTATACTAAACGGTGAGCAACACCAGAAACGAGCTAATTTAACGAGTTAATTTGAGATAAAAATGAAGTGAAGTGATTTGGGGTATTCAACTGAATAGAAGCATTTTTACCAATCAAAAGATTGGCTCTAGAATTAATCCAAAACGTAATCTGATACTGTACAATGTCATTATTACCAAAATATGTTTTTTATTTGTTGTATTCGTTTAGGCAAACTCATTTCAAATCAGCATTTTATTCCTAGCATTTTAAATCAGAAATTAATTCAATTATCAAATTGAGTGAAATGGTTAAAGTCACACAAATTTTATGAATAATTTGATACAGTTTAAATTATTTGTTTATTTATGATATGTTTTTAATTGTTTTTCCAAATAAATGGATTTAATTTAGTTTATAACATGCAATTTAATGTATGGGAGCATGATAAAACCCATTACATGTGCATTAGGAGGAAAGGGGAGATTAACTCATTGCTGTCCAAAGCTATTTTTGGAGGTTTTCTGCTGGTGACTGGTGATGGAAAATTAAGCAAAATTGAATGTTTTTACATTAGCATAAAATAAACTGTATAAACACCCTATGTGCTAAGTTATATGCCATTTGTGAAGCCAATGACAAAATACTTCAATTGCACCCTACCAGGTTCCCCTAGTGTAGTGACCACTAGAATATTTGGTAAGGTAACCGGTACAGATTATGTGACAATTACTGGACAGCACCCCGAGATATTGGTTGGGGTTGGTCACATATGATTATGACGTCATAGACCAAATATCTCGGGGTTGGCCAACAATGAGTCAAGCTTCAGTCACATTTGATCTATCGGAGGGATAAGTAGTATGATATGGATTCTCTATACTGATTTTGTGAAGCTTACAGGGGCTGTACAACCCCCATAGAGCAAATGTGACTGACACTTTGATGAAATTTTACAGGTCTCAAGAAAAAAAATCTTTAAACAAAATGAATCACTTATTTTTGTTTTTTAATCCTGTTCTTAACCAGTCATTTATTTGATATATTGGTCAATGCAAACTAATTCTAATTTGCATCTTTATATCTAGCATTTCAACACCCTTTGCATTCGGTAGACTCTGCCTCTCAAGAGAGAACTTCATCTTCACTCTTTCAGTTTTCAATAAATCTCTGAAGTCACTGCGCAATTCAGAGTTCGTCATCGAAATAAGGACTACTTTCTCTATTGTCATTTCCTCTGACGTAATCGCATAATTATTGTGCACGCATTTAACACTTGTTCCTTCCAGCTCGCTGTTTGGTTGAGAATACGTCAGCGTGGTAGGTGTGAAATGATTTATTGCTCCAGCTGTCATGGGTTTCGGTCTTTGGGGCTGGGCTGCTAAACTGTAATATAGTCTATACTAGGCAGAGGGTACTTAATAACTAGACTCTGAGTGCAGGGTAGCATTTTAAATGAAAAATGAATTCAATAATTGGATAAGGTGAAATGATTAAAGTCAATGAATTTAATTGGATAGGACATTCAATTCAATGTGCAACATGGTGGAAAGGTGGGGGTTCAATTATGATTTTGCCAATCTGGCGATTGACTCTAAAATTGCTAAGATCAATATGATATGTAAAGTATTTGATTCATTTATGTGAACTCAATATATGACACTTTTATTTTTTCAATGCAAACTAATTCAAATTGGCTTCTTTATTTCTAGCGTTTTAAATGAAAAATAAATTCAATTTATACATTACGTGAAATGGTATAAGTCACAAAAATTTTTGTTATAATTTGTTCAAGTCTAAAACATTCATATCTAAATAACATATTTTCTATTGTGTGTTCCATTATGGATTGACTCTGGATATATTTTAACCCACTCTATATTTTAACCCACTCCCTGGACCTATTTTTGAACCCAACTCTCGGGGTCTGACTCAACCATTACGTGAAATGGTATAAGTCACATAAAGATTTGTTATGATTGACTCTGCATATATTTTTGTATCCACTCTCTCAGGGTCTGACTCAAGCATTACGTGAAATGGTATAAGTCACATAAAGATTTGTTATGATTGACTCTGCATATATTTTTGAACCCACTCTCTCAGGGTCACGACTCAACCATTACGTGAAATGGTATAAGTCACATAAAGATTTATTATGATTGACTCTGCATATATTTTTGAACCCACTCTCTCAGGG